TATGCCAGAGGTTGGCCGTACAGAAGCTAGACATATCTGCTTCACATGTACAAGCCAGTGGCCTTCCTTTAAAACCCGAGTCCTGATAGGTAACCTTATCACCTGGTCTGTGCATGGGTCAGACGACTGTTCCGTGGGCTCCGGCAGATCACAAACAAGCAATTAATTGTCTGCTGAACACAAGATGACTTGCCACCTCCAGGCTGAACAGCAATGGCCAGAACACTGCCAGGTTCCAAGCCCTCACTCCTTAGAATCCAGCTATTTGCTGGGATGTTGGACCATTAAGTATATAGCTGCAGCCCACCAGTATCAACTATCAGCACTTATTTCCAAGAAATTTCAATCATATTTCTTGTGCAGACAAAACTGCACGCTGTACAGATGAATTATAGGCATGGGTGCTTTGTTACCAGAATCACCCAGATTTATGACAGATGTACATATGTAAAACCCTCAAGGAGCTCTATTTGGTTACCTACCATCCCTCCACCCTCTCCATTAACATCAATTCCGTCCCCAAACGGATCTTTTCCACGGGTGCAAAGTCTTTAGAAAAGACAGCAAAACCATTTACAGAAAACAGTTCCAGACACCGTGCTGCTGAGTGTAAGGGAACCTGGTACTGCTTCCATTCTGCATCAACAAATAAACCCGTTTTACTTTACAATTGAATTAAACAGCCTCGAAGGGAGGGTGCACGAGTATCACTGTGCTATTCGATCTGCTCAAAGGCAAAACTTTTCCTGTGAATCATCGTTTCTTGGTATCTTGCAGCCAACGAACCAATCCCTTCCCTCCTTCCAGTGCCATTTTTCCACTGAAGTTAAACTCATTACAGTTTCCTCCAACCGTTCTCTTTTGCGGTTTATCTCCTCTCTCGGGTTTCTCCCGCTTTCTCCTGCCAGCTGCTACACAAGCACTCTCTCGTGCCACTCGCTGGACGTGGCTCCTCACCCCAGCCCCTACCACTCGCAGGGCCACAGCCAGTCCCCAGCAGCCAGTCCCCAGCAGCAGGTCTGATGACACATTCTTCTTCCCTCTGCCTCCCTCCATCTAAACACCACTACCATTTCACATGACTTCAAGTAGTAGGAAGAAATCCAGCTGGTTTTCTCATAGACAAAGGCATACTTAAGCGCACAGCCGCTGCCTCCTGCGCATAGCTACTCGCCTAACCCCTTCCAAAACACAAAGGCACAAAGCAGATTTGGTACACAAAGACTAAACCAGACGTTTTCAGTCAGCTGAAGTGAAGAAATCAGCACCGAGAGCCATTAATGCATCCAAGTTATTAAGTATGCCTATATAAATATATCTACATAATATATTACGTGCAAAATACTTGTAAGAATCAGCCAACTCAAATCATGAGTGAGAAGAGAGAAGAGTCACCCACCAGCAGGTTAGAGGAAAAGGATGTGTAGAATACGAGAGTTTCAGAAAGAACATTCCTGCTTCTGGAGACTGCTGGGTCAGTACCAGTCTGCATGGACTGAAGCACCAAAGATCACCTAAACTGAGGGGAAAAATCCTTCAGCTTTAACTTACCTAAGTTTCTTATAAGACAAAATAAACCCAGAACATTTACTGCTACTTCTCCATGTTATAATTAAAATCTTAAACACATAAATCTTCCAGTAAGCTGGAGTCTTCTATGCAGACAAAATTTTCTAAATAAAGCAGCTTTTTTCCCTGCTTTGGCCAGAACTTCTCCTTATTTATTGATACATCTCTCTTCAACCTGACTCCCTTCATAATGTGAGATTCTCTTCCACTGAAGTCACACCATGAGAGCTTCGAGGCAACGTTAGCTCACGGAAAGAAGACTGGGGGGTGGCAGTGGGAAAAGGTCATTAAAATGATGAAGCATGCAGGATTCTTCCTTTTAAGATGGCAGTGTAACACGTGAGATTTTAACAGCAGAATTTTAGGATGTAAACAGTCCTTTTAAAGCTAAAAAGACAGCTAAATAAAGCCACAAGCTGAATTCCATCAAGTCTAAGACCAACCCAGGACAAGCCTGTAACCCAAAGTTACTCTTCTCAAAGTAAGAATTTCTAAAACGAAAAGGGCTCTTGAAGCAAAACCTGAACCTGAAACATTACACCATTGCCTTAACTACAGCCTAGCACGAGTCCCAAGGTCAGGAAAGGGGCTGCAAGGTGCCTCCCCAGCTCCTCCACAATCCCACCCAATGGGTGCTGCCTTCCACCTGGACTCTCACTGCCCACAATATCACAGTAGCACGGGTTCTGCTGGAATAGCTTCTAGACTAAAGCCTCACCACCAAAACAAGAAGCTACCAACTAATACCACCAGGCTGCACAAAACCACCTAACCCTCTCTTCTTTCACCGTGAAGGTAATTAAAAAGACCTAATGCTACAGCTGGGTTTTTCTTTCTTATCTTCTTATCTGTTTTGGTATTTTCATACCATTAACACCTCCTTTGTTCTTGCATATGCCCATTGCAAAAGTTTTACAGGCTCTTGGCTTCTCGGTAACCCGCTCTTGGACAAGTCAGACTTGTTAGGTCCTGGGTGAACATGCCTTTCTCAGCCCACTTTAAAACCCCTGTTGCAACTTCTCTGGTGGTGCATGTCTTCACCAGCGCTGTAACAGCATTTCTGTAAGGGCAATGCTCCAGAGAGTGGTCTGTTCTTGTGCAGGTCCATAGGGCGCTCAAAGGCTTTTCTCCTGATGGTGCCTTGCCAGATTACCTTATTTGCCTGCTTATGTTATGAGACTAATAGATAACTTCTCTTTCTGATTGCATCTGTACCAGTTTGACATGCTTTTGGGTTCAAGAGAGTTCATTTTGGGAAAGGCAATACCAGCTGGAATGCTGTCACAGGTACAGCATCACAGTTTATCTTGTTAAAGCCTTGAGACAGCTCCCACACAACAACAGCCATGAAGCCAACGGTTACAGCTCTCTCCTGTCAGACCACACTGTAAAAGAAACCAGCTGTTTGTCTGCCCTTGTCCCACCAAAAATAAGCTGGTCGTTACCATTATCCTACATAAATGCATTCAAATACCAAATCGAGAGGAAGTCTCTTTCCCCTCACCACCTCCAACAGCCCATTCTAGAGAAGACCAATGAAAAAAAATGGAGAACAACCTTTGACATATAAGTAGCAGCATCATCACATTTTCACCACTTGAAGGAGAACTGGAGCTGGGGAAGAAGGCAGAGAGAAATCAGTTTAACTTGCAACAAATGAGGAAGACGTGTCCCTCTGTCAGGAGCCAAACACCACAATCATTTATGCAAAACAAACATGCAGAAATCTTCCTTAACCACTTCTCAGAAAACGTTCAGTAAAGCACCTTCTGAGAACAACTAGGATTACAGAATGTTTCTGCAGCAGCAAAGCTCAGGCTAGACAGGGACAAGGCCCCTCCCAGCTCTACCTTAACAGGCCTCCAGATATTGTTACCTCCATGTCTACCAAGAGCTGTTCCTGTACCTGTTTGGCTCAGAGGAAAACCATACCACTCTGAGTTGTTTTGGAAAGAAGAGGCTTTTTTGTACCTTGAGTAAGTGGGTGGCCCTGCCCATAGTATGGGCCACACTGTGAGAATCCATTACAAACAGGAAGATGTTGCCTCTAACAAATCTGAACAAAGGACTGGAGATGCAAGGCTTGGACATCTATACTGTTTCCTTTCCTGCTCTTCTTCTAAGGTAGAGGTCCAAGGGAATGATTTAGCAGGCACGGTAGTAATGGGTTGACAGTTACACTTGGTCTTTTCCAAGCTTAATGATTCTATTCTACGTATATGCTTGTACTAGAGGGAGAAATATTCAGTTCACCTATGAAACCGTGCCTGGACAAGTTTTCACCATGGATTGCAAAAAAAAGCAATTATATTACCTGTGAATTGTGGCTTGGTTTTTAAACTGACACAATCTTTGCAGCACTCAGATAGCAACAGCCTGGGAAATGGAGACTCAAAATACATTTGGCTATGGCTTCACTCACCTTACTAAAAAGAAAACGTACACTGAAGCAATACAGCACATAACAGCACGCAGATTTTTATCTCTCATTACACAACAACACAGCAAAAGAAACAATTCCCTTCAAATCCATGCGACCAGCTCCAATTTTCACTTCCCAGCCACAGAGGAGCATGCAGGTGCTAAACAAGAGCTGTAAATTCTGGGAATTGCTCATTCCTCCAGCCCTGAGCAATGAGATGCCACTACCAACACAGCACACTGCCTCCTCCTGCTGCTGGGGAAGGCCGCCTAGGACGAGCCGTTGCCACGAGATGAACCATCTTAGCGCTGGCCAAGCTGGGTCCAAGGACCGTGAACTCAGTGCACTTAGCCCTCCCTGCTCCATATCAGCCTGCCATAAAGCCTTCCTACGGGAAGGTGGAGCAGCTCAGCCTTACCCCCCAGCACATTATGGGGTTTGGCTCCGTGCGGCACAAACCTGACATCTGCTTCACGCTTTGACCGCACCACGGTGCAAAAGTCCTTTAGGACTCCTAAAGGCACACCGAGGCGAGGTGCCGGACGGGAAGGAGCACCACGCGGTGCTGGGGAGGCGACCACACCCGCGTGCCTCACGTTGAAAACCACCAGGGAGCACCTGGGCCCCGAGGACGGCCGCAGCACGGAGACAAACGGCCATGACTCATGCTTTTGTCCGCCCCACCGGAGCGCGGCGGGGGTGGCCGCTAACAGGCAGGGGGCGGCCCCTCGGTGCAGCCCCGTCTCGATGGTTCGCGGGGGGCGGCCAACGGCACGTGGCGCACCCCCCGCCAATAGGAGAGACCCAGACCATAGAGCGGAGCGAGGCGCTGGCTAGACGTTCCGCCCTCGGCGCCAGTCTCTCTGCTGCCGCCATCTTGTCGGAGGCGCAGAGGCCGCCCGGCCGCAGAGCCGGGCCCCGCCGCCTCTCCCCGCTCAGTCGCGGCACCCTCACGCCCCCACTTCCCTCCCGCTCGGCCGGTACAGGCGGCAACCGGCGACGGCTTTACCTCTAGTAGGCCCGCAGCGAAGCCTATGCTGGGTACGAGGCCGAAAGGCCGGCCGCCATCTTGGTGAAGAAGAGGGACTCGCGTGACCTACCCGCACAACGCCGGTCCCTCCCCCACGTACCCTTGCCCGCCGGGTTGCTAAGGGAACCGAGCGGGCGCACGCGCTCTGGCGTTAAGCGCGGCACCTCCCCGTGGGTCGGGCCTGTGAGTGAAGGGGTGGGGTTTGCTGGCGGGGGACGTGGCCTCGGCCAAAGGGGGCTTGGCCCGAGCGAGGGCGGGCGTTGCTGCCCCTCCCCCCTCCTTCCTCCGGGTGCGTGAGCGCGGGAGCGGCGGCTGGGCCATCGGCGGGGTCTGCAGGTGAGGCGCTGAGGGGTGCCGGGTGGCGGGAGCTCCTCCCTGCAGCGGGGGTGGCCTGCGGCCTCCCCTCAGTCGGAGATGGGGACGACGGCGGCCCTTCGGGTTTCTGGGTGATGCTGGGGGATGAGGGCTGAGGGTTCCGGGCGGCCCTGGCGCCGGGGTTGTGGGGCTGGCGGCATCCCGCCCGCATCCGCCTCGCTCGAAGCCCTTTAGCGCTCACGGTCATCTATAAGCGCGAAGTCCCCTTCGTGGGATGGAGGAGGGGGGTCGGGGATGCGGTTTCCTGTGTGGAAATGGGAAGAGCTGAGGCGATGAGGGGCAGAGAACGCAGCCGCTCCGCGGGGCGCCGGGCTGCTGCGCTGCCAGCTGCATCCAGCCGGGCTGGATCCGTGTGTCTGTGTGGGAGCTGCCCTGGGGGCGCGAGCCTGGGAGATCTGTGCTCAAAGCACGGGGAAGCCGCGCTTTAGCGTGCACGAATAGTTCTTCATGTCCTGCTGGCTGTGGGAAAGTTCCCTGTGAGAGATGGCCGGGTGGAAAGCCTTGCCGCCGGGAGGATGCTCCGGCACCATCCGGTTCTGGTCGGCGTTCAGAATTCCTGATGGTGAGCGGGGCTGGATGACATCAGCCGGCAGGAAACGCTCTGGGAGGGACGTTTCTTATCGGAGCGGTCTCCCGAGATGGGAAGAGCCTCCGAGGAGCATCTCCAGCAGTTGAATGCTTCGTTGCTCACACGTCAGCTTACTGATGGAAACGCTGCAGATTTATTTTAGGATGAATTTTCACCGCAGAAGCGAGTTGCCTGGTTTTTATTCTGCGTACGTAATCAGGGCAACAGATCTGTGTGAGTTCAGCTCCGTGGGAAACAACAGCGAACGGCTTCGATGCGTGGCACTTTTAGTTGGCTCTGCCATCAGAAAAGCATCTTGTAGTTCGAGCAAACTGGCCGGGGTCAGATGGGCAGGAGCCCAGCCTTTCTGCGCCCAGCAGAACACAGTTAACAAACTGATGATGATTTCTGACAGCTGTGGTATTTGCTTCACAGAGCTGTGGACATAGAACTCAGTGCAACAGCCTTTAGGCTTATTAAGATGCAAGTCTTTACAACTTTTTAGCTCTCAGTCATTGCTTTTAAGCATCTAATTAGCTCTTTTTTTGTAGTACAGAAAGGAAAAGGAGCTCACTTTGAGCAGTTTTGAGAAATCCTTCAATGGGAGAAAGATAACAACTTTGTGGCTATAATCAGCCATGATTCCCTGCTCTGGGAGGGTGGGAAGAGCAAGCATGCCTGGAATATGGAAAGAGCCAGGTGGCAGTAATTTCATTCTGCCAAAATGAAAGTCAGCTAGAGAGAGACAGCTCTGATCTGTGGCTGTTGTGAATGGGAACAGATACCTCCTAGGCCAGAGGAGGAACTGGAAAGGGGACTCAAAGTGCATCAACTCATGCTGACTTTCTTACACTGTCAGAATAAGTTATATGATTTCTTGAAGTCATGCAAGTAAACCTGATAGAAGCCCTGTTGTGCTGGTAGGTCTTTGTCTGTTCAGAGACTTTCTTATAGAGGTGCCAGAGTTTTCTTTTCCCACCTCAAAATGAAACAGCTGCGTGTGACCATCTTGGCAGCGACAGTTAAAATGGATGGTTGAGTTTTTGAGTATCCTGACCAAAGAGGAGAAGAAAATGTTTCCTTTTGAAGCCTCAACTCTTTGCAAAGCTCTCAAACATGAAAGGAAGTGTTGAGGGGGAGGAGGTTTAAAAAGAAAAGACTGCATGGGTTGGTTTATTGAGCTTTGAAAAAAACCATTTCCTCTGAATAGATGCCTTTTAGCAGCGTGTTTGGGTTGGTTAGTTTCTGGAACGGATGTGAACTTCTCTTTTACAGGCTGCAATATGGTTTGTCATATATCTGGTGCCTTCAGAGTTCCGTGTTCGTGTTGCTTGAGTTCATTGCACGCTAATAGGAATAAACTGCTTACTGGTTGCTGGGAATTGTGCTCCTTCTTAATGCTGGAGATTCAGCTACTGGACCTTTATGAAAAGCAACTGGTTCTGTTTTAAAACGTGCACGTTCATTCAGAGGCACTCCTTTTCTAAGTTAGCATTAAAAGTGGGCAGTGATTTGTTGGGGTTTTTGATTTTTATTGTTATTTTTTTTCTCATGTGATTTTTAATAACCTGGGAAACATTTTTTGTGTTTTCAGAATTGCTCCTGAGCTCCCATAAAAATGTCCAAGGTAAGAATAATGTTTCTCCCCTAAAAGGGAACATTCTGAAAGTTTTGTCTTATAAGTTTTATCTTCACACGGAATGTTTGTCTGTTACCTCGTGTTTGGTGGGGCTGTGCGTGCTAAACTTGCAGTTCACAACTGTGACAGAATTCACATTTAGAATATGACAGTGAATGATTGAGTTATGGAACATAGATATTAGAATAGTTTCACACACGTAGGGTAAACCTCTGTAGTTAACTGATGCTCCCAGAAGGATGGAGTTGCACACAAGAAGCTCCATGTTATGTTTTCACTGAAACTCCTATTCAACTGCTATGTTTTGAGCAGGAATAACTGAAGGAAAGGATGTTCTTGTGTTTAATTTATTCTTCACATCTTCGTTTCTTTAGTCAGTCAACTGATCTATTCAGCAAAGGCCTTCATACAAATGTGGCAACTTGAATCCCAGCATGCCAGTATTTTTCATTTAATTATTTGTCTCTTGCATTTGATGTAATGGGTAAAAACGTTAGGTTATCACAGCAAAACTAATAAAAGCTACTTGTGTAATGTATTTGAAGAGGGAAAATGACAGGTCTGAACATTTACCTGCAGTATTTGTAGTAGAGAGCATTTAAGCACTTCTGTGTTGTTTTTGCCATTTAAAAGCGATCTCTGATGAAGTTTCCAGCAGGTGACTGCCATTTCACAAGTACTGTTTTTGGCTGGACGTGCTAAAAAACCACAGGAGTAATGGTGGCTTTCCTTGTTTAAGTGCTAAGCCTCATGCACAAGTGTAGCAGAAACGCAGGTCGTGGCCTGAAGCAGTGATTGAGCACCTGGTGGAAGGCAGGGCCAACCCAGGGGAGCTCAGGTGCATGCAGTGTACCTGAGTGATTGGAAGGGTGGAGCCAGGATCCAGCCCTTCCCAGACCTCATTTAAGGGTTGGCAGTGGAGCTGAGGGTCTCTTGCTGGAGATCCCTGTGTGCCTGAGGCCTTTGGAGGGTAAGCAGCTTCTTTCCTTTGTTTCTGTGTTTGCAGCTGCCACACTTGAGCAAATTCTTACTTGCTGCAGCCTGGGACTTGGCTACTGGGCTGCCATTGCTGTGCTTTCCATTGTGTTACAGCAAGCTTTTTTATTTTAAGTTAGTGTGAGGTTACTGCTGAAGTGTGTAGCTGTAAATGTATTGTATGCTTCAGTAAGTAAATGTTTGAGGCTTTTTTTCCCTTATTTTAGGTGGTCTTAGATGAAAGTAAAGGGAACTTTTCTCAAACCCTAGGTTTTCTATATTCGTTGTGAATCTGTTGAATAATGGGCAGACTTGCATAGGGAATCTCTCTGTGATCATGCACCTTCAACTTGTGATTTCAGGTCTTAAATGCTGGGGGATTCTAATAAAGTTATTTTTTGCATCTAGGGAAGGGCAGGAGGCAGAGCTTTGGGAAGCCAAATGATTTATGAAATTTCTGATTTTGCTATGCTTTCTTCTGGTTCTAGTTTATGGTATTTGAAATTGCTATGTCTTGTGTGGTTGCTTATTACTGTCTGATTTAATTTCAGCAACAGCCTGCTCAATTTACCAATCCAGAAACCCCCGGTTATGTTGGATTTGCAAACCTTCCCAATCAGGTCCATCGGAAGTCTGTGAAAAAGGGGTTTGAATTCACTCTTATGGTGGTTGGTAAGGAAACATTGTGTAGTATTCTTCACTGATAGAGAATTCAGAATTAAAGTGAATGTTGCTTTTGCTGTTGTAAGGCTTTAACTCGTGTCAGAAAGCATTGCGCTGCAACATTTAACTTCTTTGCACTTTTATTAACTCACACATCTGTTGGTTTTGGTATCACAAGCCATGTATGGTAATCATTTTGTGGTTGAAGTGAAAGAGCTCTGTTTTGTGCTCCAATTATGGTTACTTCCTTCCTTCTGTCTCACAGGGTTCAAGCCTTCCGCTCAAAACTTAACTTAAAATTGCTCTCATGTATGAATACAAGTCCTGGTGGCTTCTTTTCATTAAGAAAATAGTATTAAACTATTTGTTTTGCTTCTGTAGTTCAAAAGAACCTTGGGTAGATCTTTCAAAGGAGAGATGGGACAGGACGTGATAAGTGAGAGTTCCAGTTGCTGATTGTTTGGGATCCCAGTAGTTACAGGTGGCATTTATCCTTCAACCTGTCATTAGCTCTGCCAAATGGCAGCCCTTGTTTTGCTTTTGTCCCAGTTCTGTCTTCAGCAGCACGGTGCTGGTCTGCACTGGCCCTTAGTTTTGGCTTCTAAGAATTTGGTGGTGGTTGGTTCCTGTTACCTGGAGCGAGGGGAAGAAAGAAGAGAGCAGGGACACGGGCAAATGAGGTTATACTGCATGCTAATTACCTTATGATTGTTAGGAGTCATTTAATTTTTGCTTCAATGGATTTGCTTAGGATAATATCATAATGGATACCTTACAAAACCTAAGGGTAAAGCCAGCCTTTAGATGTTCCAAGTCATGGTATCTGCTGTGATCCTTTGGCATTTGCTATTTTTTGGTCCTGCATGTAGGAAATAGGTTGGGGTGCTTAATATCCACATCT